TAGTCAGGGATCCTCGACTTCTTCCGGACTTGGATGCTCGAAGGATACATATTCTACTACATTAAAAGTCCTCTTTTACTTGATGGAAGTTGGGACAATCGGATTAGGGTAGCCTGTGGTGTCGCCGGATCCTCGCTCTCGTTTTCCAACCAAGGTAAACTCGCAATAGTTCAAGCATATCAAATGACGAGCTCACGTGCATGCGTAACACAGACGGTAGCAAACATGAGTAAATCCGTCTTTTTGTTACAGGTAGAACGAGCATTAATAAGACATTAAACAAACATCCGGCTAAGCCAAAATAGTTCAGTGTCTTGAGTAAAGGAGTTGCTGTGACCCAATAAGTGTTGTATGAAGTGTTAGGAGGGGAAGTAAGTAACTGAAACTTACAGGAGGGGCTGTTAGCCTTTGGTAAAGGGGGATAACATTGTGCGAGTGGAGTGCTATTATACTCTGCACAGGGTACGAAATGACTTGAGCTACATGTAGCGCCAGAAGTGCCGCAATAGGCTCGAAGCGTTATCCCTGATCTACTCAAACCCCGCTCTAAATTACATGTTAGGGTAACGGGTTTCTTCAGCTAGAACTCTGGAATCCCGTACCATCGGCGGGTGCTGCGTCTCCGAAACATATATACAAGAACCGAATAATTTGATTTCACCGTCCAGAAAGAAAAGGACAGCTCTATTCACTCTTCGTTTATCTGGAGCCCCTGCTGCTGCTTCCTGTGGCCTCGCTGGTGTCAGTCAAACAATAGCAACCACATTAGCACACAGAGGTATTTCTCGATTAAAATCCAATAAAAGTACAGTTAGTCAAGGTATTAGCATTAGTCAGAGGTTGGGATTAGAATATATTATTCAAGAAGTATGATTCAGTGAGATAAGTTTGGAAAGACAAAGTTAGAGGTGTTGACGAAACCATAAGAGTAGGGTCTGAGAGAACACAAAGGTTTGATGCACCTGCGCCATTGAAAACGATTTTGAGCTCTGTCATTCAAGGTTTATAACCATTGGTGACTTTCGACTCGCAGGCTAAAACCACGTGGCACGCACCTACCAATATGACAGTCCATTTGTTAGCGATTTCATGGATTTCTGCCTGATTTGGTCTGGCTGCTCCCAGCTTTCTTTCAGCCTAAACCTACACCACAAAACACTGATTGTCCAGGCGATCGGTACTTGGTCATTAGTAACACATGTCCCAACAACCTCAGCTAATGAGGTTTCACCACTTCATCTATTGATCTGCCATTCTTAACTAGCACCCGTCCCCTAATAACAGCGTTGCTCGCTCGGATGTCCCAGGATATACGAGCGATGCTTCCAAGACACGTATGATCGTAAACCAAAAACCTACGTATATCTTCTACTCTCAATGGCCATGTTTCACAGACGTAAAGTAAGACGGAGCGAACCACTGCACAGTACACTCGTTTAGTCAGCAAACGGATGTCTCGCCTGCGCCATAAGTGACGCAGGTTGGCAAAAGCCAATCGAGCCTTCTGTATCCGAGCTGAGATTTCGTCAGTCACCAGGCCATCAGCACTGACGAGACTCCCAAGATTAGTGAAGCGGTCTACACGTTCGACTACTTCACTCCCTATCACTAGTTCAGGTGCCGAAGCAACCCAGTCTTGAAGCAACATTTTGCATTTCGAGGGTGAGAACCGCATCCTGAACATGCTTGCATTGTTGCTTGGGGTGGTAAGAAGACTCTGAATTTCGACAGCGTCTTCACCAAATAGAACCATGTCATCGGCATCTTCTAAGTCTGCAAGCGATTTTCCTGGTAGAAGATCCACTACTACCGACCGTAGCCGCTGCCTTGACGTCGTGGTCGTGCTTGCCTATCGTGATGACCCGAACGAGCTAGACTGTCTGGAACATATGTTCCTGAAGGTTCTACCATGCCAGGCAGGTCGATTGGAGAACGATGAGACTAAAAGCAGCTACTCAAGGTCTGAGAGCGAAGTCGTACTCCTGACTGTACAAGGGTGTGACAGCAGTAAGGTGTTTTCCTTGGACAACAAGCAGAATCTGCAGCGATGTTGCCTTCTCACAAGGAAGGAAGGGTTAGAAAAGGTCGACCCTAAAAATGTCACACCTCACCTTACCTCACGGATTTCCGTCGGTAAGGGTGCCCATTAAGGGCCTTTAAGAGCGAAACTAATACTCAAAACACCTTTCATCAGAAGACCGTGCGTCAATGGCCTCTTCAGGTCACTCAAGAAACAACCTTCCACGGTGTGGGCAGCCGGGAAGTGTCGACCACCCTCATACCCGTAACAGCACACGAGACCAAATTGGTCGAAATCAAATCCTTCCTACACGCACACATACCTGTCTTCTCTCCACAACTAAATCTACTCACATTCCCTTATCTCACTGCACCGCTAAGGCAAACGATGCGAGTTCACGAAACGTCATTCCTGGTCTTTTGAAACCTCGTACTAGACTACATGTTGGAGCATTCAATGTACGCACATTGTGTCAAATAGGGAAACAGGCATCATCAGCTAGGACTTTAGAATCTCGCTCAATCGATGTGTGCTGCGTCTCGGAAACACGCATACAGGATCCAAGTAGCATCATTCACTTGACCTCACCATGTCAAGATAAAGAAGCAACTCGACTTGCCCTTCGTGTATCCGGTAGCTTTAAGGCTGCTTCCAGGGGTTTTGCTGGTGTAGGTATAGCATTGAGTCGTAGAGCTGAACAATCTCTCCATGACTGGATCCCAGTAGATAGTCGCTTGTGCGCCGTCCGACTAAACGGGACAATAAGGATTCGGAAGGATAGGGACACTCGTCGTTGCCTCTTCGTCATATCAGCGTACGCCCCCACTGACTGCAGTTCAGACAAGGTTAAAGATGAGTTTTACAGAAAGCTTTCGGACTCCCTCCAAAAAGCTAGGTGCTCTGATGTAGTATTAATGGCTGGTGACTTCAATGCTCAAGTAGGTAGACTAAGTGAGCAGGAGAGACACCTAGGTGGATGTTATGGTGTCGCGGCTCAGAGAACAGACAATGGCGACCGTCTGTTGCAACTATGCTCAGATAAACGCCTATTCTTAGCAAACACTAAATTTAGGCATAAGGAAAAGCATTTATTGACCTGGCGACCCCCAAAGTCGCCTCAACGTTGGACCCAACCAGATCACATTGCCATCAGACCCCAATGGAGGGGTTCGACAGAGGACTGCCGCTCGCTCTGGGGCACATGTTTAGATTCAGATCATGCCCTAGTGCGAGCGCGTATTTGTTTGAGGCTTGCTGGGCGTAGGAAAGACACCGTAAGAAAGCCTCTTAGGGTTTTACTTAATGATAATAAGGCGAAGAATATATTTCAGGAACAACTAGAAAGACAGTTAGGCTGCCATTTGAGCGATTCCCATACGGTGTCAGGTTGGAGTGATATCGAAAAGGCTGTGGAAACAGCAGTGATATCTGCTAGTAAGGTTGACCATAAAGCTAGAATGAAGCCGTGGATCTCAGTAGCATCCACCGATCTGATGGATGCCTGAAAACTCATCCCACCTGACTCTGAACATGATGAGGAACGAAGTCAGCTTAAGCGCAGGCTGATAAAAAGCCTGCGCAACGACCGTGAACAGTGGTGGGTGGCGAAAGCAAAGGCGATGAAAAAGGCAGTGGCGATTGGCAACACTAGACAACTTTTCCGACTTATCAAGGAAACTGGTATTAGGAATCCTAGTGTAAGTGAGACTATCTCAGAAACTGATGGGATTATTATTTATTCTCAATCCAGGAGACTGGATCGATGGGCAGAACACTTTAGGGATCAGTTCAACTGGCCTCGAGCCACTCTGCTGTTACCCACGATCTCCAGTCATCCTGAATGGCAAATCGACGTAAGTCCCCCCAGGCTGTACGAAATTGAGAAAGCGTTAGGAAGTCTGAAACGAGGACGAGCTGCAGGTCCTGATAGACTGACCCGTGAGATATTTAAGAATGGTGGTCCAGTTTTAGCATCTAGGTTGACTGAGATCTTAGGTAGAATCTGGGAACTGGACGTAATCCCATCTGACTGGTCTCAATCACTGATTGTCTCAATTTTATCTATAACAAAATTGAACAAGAATGGCGAGAGTAGACATCCCTGACGGATACCACTTGAAGTAAATAATTCCGGTGACAGTTAGTAATAAGCTCTCACTCGACGTGTATTGTTCGAGTAGAGAGCTTGTATAAGGTAAGTGTACTTCGTCTGTCCACCTTTTAATGACAGAGACTGCCACAGAACCTCACGATCCACAAAGTCAAATGCCGCCCCAAGGTCCAGGAACACAGCTATTGTAGGACGCCTTTCTACAGTCAGCAGTGCGACTTCGCCCTCAGACCTGGAGTAGCTACTTTTAGTCTGATCGTTCCCCAATCGAGCTTCCTGGTATTGTAGAACCTAAATGGATATATATTGAAACCAATATAGCTCGGTTGGGTCATCGCGATAGGCAAGCCCAACCACCACGTCGAGGTAACAGCTACGGTCGGGACCGTCATATCAGAAGCTGCAATTCCATATCAACGCGTAGCGCTCTTAACTCGTAAGAGAACAAATTGGTGTCAGGAGAATGTACAATATATATTTTCGGCCAATAATAATTAATCAGTAAAACGAGTTCTTTCACTGAACGAACCTCAAAAACGAATGAAATACATACCTAAAATTGCCAGATTACGACAGATGATTATTCTAAATTATGGATGAACGTCAACTGATCGACAACATAACCTTCATCGTTTCTTATCACTTACAATATGGGTCATTTGTGAAACTGTATTATGTCTAGAGTGATACTGAGTACATTAAGCTGAGACAAACGCGCCTTTACGAAAGACCCCTACATGAATAAATTTTTTTAGTCAAACTAAGTTTCGTGTGTCAACTTGAATAAAATACCAATATGATTATGACAAGTATTTCTGAGGCAAAAATTCTGCGGTCCCATGTAACTTCATTCTGAAAGTGATAAAAAACCTATTATTATATAACTTTCAGACAGAGAAACTATCGCATGGGGTACAACGTTAACGTAACACAATGATAAACAGACATAATTAACTGAGTTAGTCAGTTACAACGTAGTATTAACTACCTTGTAGCATCGTCTGTCTAGTTACACGGATGAGATGAAGTGAAAAAATCTTTTCCGAACATACCAGATACAAGATATACTTATGAAAAATATGCACATATAGGAAAAATAGAGAAAGACTTTTACCCTGACTCAGTAGAAAATAGATTTATAAAGGCACAAACAACAAAAAGATAAAGTATACGGAGTGATGAATCACAGTTTTTGACTTTTTACAATTAGAGGCATGAAGTTTTGTTCGGAGGCGATAAGTTCAGGTGTTAGCAGACGTTATCAGACCTATAGAATTCGGTAGACCACCTATGTAGTTAGCTTGAAGACATAGGTACAAAATTGCGAGAAATAGATTTAATCCCACAAGGCTACTACCAAGGATAAGAACAGTAGTAAAAATCATATTCCTTTTCGGACGGGATGGTAAAATACCTGGAAGAAATAAATCCAAAAAGGCTTTCAAAATCCATTGACCATCAAGTGAATAACAAGGTACGACGTTGAGGATCACAAGAGCACCAGACAAGGAGAACAAATACCTAAACGTTGAAAAACAGTTAAGAAGAATTAAGAAACTTTGATACGTAAGTTCATAGCTTAATCACGAAGTAGTATTTGATCTTGGAAATATTTCCGAAGTGTACTTTGCCAACCTGCGTCACTTATGGCGTAGGCGTGATATCCGTTCGCTAACCAAAGGGCGGGTGTACTGCGCAGCAGTTCGTTCCGTTCTCTTATATGGCTGTGAAACATGGCCGTTAAGAGTAGAAGATGTTCGTAGGTTACTAGTATTCGATCATAGATGTTTAAGAAGCATTGCTCGTATATCGTGGGACAGCCGAGTAAGCAATGCTGTCGTTAGGAAACGAGTACTAGGTAAGGATGGCAGATCAATCGATGAAGTGGTGAAACTTCATCAGTTGAGGTGGTTGGGACATGTGTTACGTATGCCTAACCACCGACTGCCTCGACGAGCTATGTTTTGTGGTGTAGGAGTAGGTTGGAAGAAAGCTAGGGGCGGCCAGACCAAAACATGGCAGAAATCCATGAAGTCACTGACAAGTGGACTGAGTCATGTTGGTAGATGTAGACTACCTGGTTGGGGTCCGCGAGACGAAAGTCATCAATGGTTAGAGACCTTGAACGACATGGCTCAAAATCGTTTGCAATGGCGCAGGTGCATCCACTCTTTAAGCTCTCTCAAATCCTAATCTTCTGTATTAGCCAGCACCTCTACCTTTTTCTTTCTAACCTTATCTCACTGAATTATATTTTTTGAAAAATATCTTGAACCCTAGTCTTCTTTATTATAACATTAATACCTCTACCATCTTTATCACTATGGGATTTGATTTGACATTTGCGTCTCTGTGCTAATAATGTGGTATGGCAACATGAACTTATGTACATACGTACGAAGTTCTACGTTGCAACTGACTGACTGACTTATGGTAAATGTGTCGAGCTCATTGTTAAAGCTTCAGAAATCTATAACAATACTCGTTAAATTATTTCTTCTCTACTTACTATAAACATTTTCAGTACCATTAGCATGGTCTAGTAGGCAACAGAAAAAAGGCGTTTTAGATGTATATGGACAAATAATATTACTGTCAATAACTCACATCCAGAAATTGGGTATTAAAAAACTATAGTGGGTTCCTTTCACATACAAAATAAGTCGATAACTATTTATAAATACCCCTACTTTCTTTTACAGTTTCTTGAGGCCAGGAATAATCCTGTACAGTTGCACTCAAGATTTCTCATACATATATATATATATATATATATATATATATATATATATATATATATATATATATATAGTGATGCACGTAAAACTGTGAACTTAGTTGTGAACACAAGTTGGAAAAAAGCACTAAAAAATCTTTTCAACTGAATAATGGTATACTTATTAATGATAAAACTGGATATTCTTTGTACGACTACATTTTTGGTCTTCAAAATTAGTGCATCATATTACAACGGTTTCCAAAAGGGGTTTGAGCTTTGTAGAATATCGTTATATGTTTCGATTCTGACATGTTTGGAATGTCGGATAATTATTTATTGGAGGCAGAAATAGAAATAAATAAATAGAAATAAATAAATCTTAAACACTACATTTAATATTGTTTATTTCATTATTTCTAGTTTTCGCGATTTCTGCTATTCTGAGAATCGTAGTAATCTAAATTTTCCTGACATATACAGTAAAACTCGATACTATACTAACTTCTATCAAAACGAATGGGATAATTTTTCAAAAAGTACATATCATAGTTCTGTAGAACTTTTGACACTAAAAGTAACAATTCAAATTGCTTACGTGCATAATAATCCAAGGAAGGAAGGTAAATTTGGTGGAAGTATGGAAGGCCAACGTGGAACATAATCAGAAATCCCAATAGAAGCTACAAGATCTTCCAATGGACCCAGGAAAAGAATTGCGAGGGCTTTATGGCGATTATGCACTAAGCGTACTAGACGAGTGGAATTGTCTGGGGGGCTTGGCACTACACAATACATTGATCGAGTAGATACAACACCAAGTGATTCACTTTGTATTCCATTGTTATTGCCACGTATAGCGCCAAGGTTACCACAATCAGAGGTCACATTGCAACTAGTACGCTCAGTTACAGCACGTGCCGGTAAGCAAGCATATCTTCGGGACTGAAAAAGAGTGATAAATGCACATCAAATGTCTCTAGTGATGCTATATGGGGAACATGCTTAACTGTGAAACTTGTCAAAAGCATACGGAAGAAAACTACAGTAGTTTTACTTGATAGAATACCACAAAACGTGACATTTTAGACCAGTTTGTATCTCTAGTATGTTAAATAACTAACAATCAAAGGGGCGGTTTTAGTTTGATGCTGAAACGTTGAGCAAAAAATGTCTTATTTTGTGTATAGTATAGTAAGAATGAAAACGACACTTTTTTCACAACTGTTGCTTCATTCTAATCCAGGTATACTGCATAAAACCTGTTCCCTTTATCTGACTATTACTTTCCGAACATTAAGAACAATTTTTCTTCATAATAGCGAGAATGTTAAGTGAATAAACTACATGAAATTAAATACGGTTTTAAACTAAAAAAAGATTCCGATATTTCTTTGAATTCGATAGTCAGGGTTAACAGTTGAGATGTTACTTACGACAATAGGTATACACTCAACACTTCTAGACAATATATGTGCCATAGCATTTATTTGCACGAAGGCGTGCATAATGAATACATCAACAATGATGTTGTATTACGTACAATAGTAGATTAACTCTTCAGTACTCAGTTGCTAGTGTGTTGGGATCACTTTTAGGTGGAGGAATAGACACACATCAACATTTTGTGTGTTTGAATAAGCATATATCGATCAAGTGAATTCGACTATTCGAAAATCAGTAGACAACATATACGTGTTTGCACCCATTACACTGACTAAGATAAAACCAAGGTTGAATATTCAGGAAAGTATTAGGTGGGTGCAATAGCGCAGATTCCAAATAATTAAATATCTCACTTCAAATTTAAAGCAGATCAGTTAAGTAAAAATAAGGATCTGTATCTATTGCACATACATTACAGATAAAAATCATGAAAGAAAATTTCGCGGACTAACTCAAAACTATTATTACCCCGTAGATGAACTATAAAATGTAGCGGTAATATAATTGTGAATAGATTAATTTTTAAATCTAGGCTATGCAACCATAATACACATAATTATTCTATATTTATCATAAAAGTATATATTTGGAGGCACACTAAAGTAAATTTATATGAGAATACAATTAAAACTGAATTCAATGAAACAATACGCTGCAATTTAATCTTACTGCAGAACTGTGCTTAGTAGGTGTTATATAGGTGAAACACAAATGAGTCGAAGCTGATTGCACTGTGCAACAATCTTCATTCAATTTATTATGATCGTTAACAGATTCGAAACTTTCATTTTCATCCAATTTATTGACAGAAACAACCGCGGATAAACTACGACGTGGACCAGGGGCTTTATTATCTAACATGCTTAAATAAGCTCCAGATACACAGTAACCAGATGGATGAATGTATGCCTCCTCCAAGCATTTGAACCAATCAGACTGCTGATTTACTGGACAGGAATTTACCCGAGTGATAGCATCACCAAGAGCGAGCCCACGATATCCTGTGACGACAGAATCCTGGAAAACAAAGAAAATTAAATGTAGCGACTCTTTATAGCGCTTGTCTGAATGTAATATAACACACGGACTTATGACTCATTCAGCGCATGATTTTTCATATTTTTACTTGTTACTTTCGAGCTTCTCAAGTGCGTAGCTTGCATGTAAGTCTTTTTATCTGTAATTTACACGTCAAGACTGAATCAATCTTAATTTAGTGATTTTAGTCAGAGGTCAAATCTATATTTGCTCTCTCTGATTGTCTGCCGCAGAGATGCATGTTTTGAATACTCATATTTGACATTTTATTGCCCGTTATGAGAACAGCGAGAGAACATGCACAAAGTAAAAAGGATATAAACTTCATTCATCAAAAGAGTTAAGCAAGAGCTAACTAAAGCTCAGGAATTTCTGAATTTCGGGAAATGGACTGTGCAATAGTACGTCTGAAATTAAAACACACTCTTTTGACATACAAAGGGATTTCATCTACAAGAACAATGTTTAATATGAAAGAAACATTAGCAAAAGCTAGATAGGTGATTTAATGGCAGCCAAATAGAGTAGACATCAATTGAAATAATTTTAGTCGGAAATTAATTAAACATATTTCAACTTTGTATAATCAAGAGAAAAACGTAGGTTACAGTTATTTTTGGCTACATTTAAACATCTAACTTGCTGTAATTTAGTTTAATAATCAAAATCGATCATACTTATCTAGATAGCGAACGCGTGAGAAGTGTTAAACTTTTGGACATGGTCATTATAAAATTTTAGCACGGAAACGGTGAATAATTGATACGCTGTTATGGTGCACGAAGAGCTACATTTACTGTAAAGGTTATTTTTATATTTCGGGAACGGTTGAGAAAATCCTTTCGCATAAGATGATTTTTATACAGAGTATAACACTAAGCTGGCTTTTCTACACATTTAATCTTTTATTCCGGGTAGCAACTCTTTAATTGATAGTCATTTGCAACACGTACACACGACAAAGCATTATTTCGGTTTTAGTGGTAAACCAGGTATTTCCAAACTAACAATTTTCAAACACATTCCAACTTACTTGTTTCTACCAAGCTGTTAAGAAACCCATTGACTTTTTTTGTTTATTTATTTTTTATTAAAAAACAATTATTTCCAATAACTTCATTATTACAGGATCTACAATCATAAGTCCATAATTATTGTTTTACAAAGTTCAAAGTAAGGAATATGAGTAAATTAGACGATGTTGTGTTACATTTGCTATGGCATAAATACATCAAAAATGTATTATTTTTAAAATAGAATGGTCATTTACAAAAGGTGAGAGTGATTCGTTACAGAGTATCAAGCTATAATTCACTCTTTTAGGTATCTAAAACAGCAAGTTTAAGAGTTCATCACATAGCCGAAGCCGTAGGAGTCAACTTCAGAAGACCTAACTTACGTACCAAAAAAGATATATACGGCCTATTTTTAACCACGTCCAAGATTAGATTATCAGATACCTAAATTGGATATTGTAAACAATTTCTTAATTTATGTTTAGACTCATTCTCCTCTGTTCTTAATTTACATATTGATTTCTCCCAATTCACATAATTCCCTTGGTCTCCAAACGTTATGGTACGGCTGAGAGTAGGAAGAGTCTCCCCTCGCTCTTGAAATACTCTCACGTAGCCATTCGTGTATAGCTACTGCCAGGGAAGTCATACTGCCCTCTCGTTACAGGGGTGCTGCTTACGAAATTAAGAGGAAGAGAGAATGTTCAGTGCTTTAACCGGATTGGTGGGTACGGAGGATTTACCTAGGGAGGGTGAAAAAGACAGATTCCAAACCGATGGTGCACATGGGTTCCGGGATCCTGAGGGGAAGGATGGCGTATGAGTGTCGTTAGTTTCCGGCTATCATCGGACTGCATCTACTGAAGTTGCTCCACTACCTCTTGGATTAGACCTCTGGATCTAAAGCTTGGGGAGCGGTTCCCTGAAAAAACCACCTGCTTCAGCATCCGGGCAATATCATAGCCCAATCACAAATTCAATAATTTGTGTGGCGCATAAATATGTATGTGCCTCTTTTTACTGACAACGTATTGAAATGAACAGATAAAATGTCTTGAAAACATCTATCACATGCTATATTCATACAACATTATTACTATATCAAATTGACCACATATAATGTCTCTACTACGTACTTTAGCCGCATGAATTATTTTACGTTGACTGTAACTTGACGTTTTAAAACGAATTATTAGCGCCTTTTGTAAATGACCATTCTAATTTACAAACGATACATTTTTGAAGCAAGTGCGCCATAACAAATGCAGAAGTTTACCTTTATTCAACATAAAATTTTCTAATTCACTAATTTCGGACTGTGTAACACAGCAATAATGGACCTATTATGGTAGATCCTGATGAAAAAGTTACTGAAACTAGTTTTTCACTCCAGTATTTTTTGTTTTTGAACATTTTTATTTGACAATAGTTGCTGCGATCTATAATAGAGAAGCCATGCCAGTATAATATTTTTTATGGTATAATACTATCATAAAATTAACTTTCTGCTAAAATATTTCGCCAACTCTTTTATCAAATATGTTACGTAATCTAACAATCATTAAATCCCGTATTTTCAACTCCTACAAAGAGTTACCCTGATTATTTTAATCTTTCTTCGAATAACTCAGTTAACCATTTGCGGTTATTAGCAATCATATTGACATGGTTACAGTTACACCACTACCCGACTACCATTATTTCACTATTGTGAATCATACATATATATAATGCAGATCCATGATGAGAAGCTAATTGGAAAAAACTCTATTCAATATAAAACTAAATAACATTTATTAAATCAGAAGCTTGTTAGTAGTTTGAAGTTAGTTAAGAACACATGTGTGTTTAGAAAAGATAGACCACAGTGGAATTTACGGTGTGAGTTTCTGTGGATTTCTGAGTCGTCAGAAGGATGAAGCTGCATCCTAGTGTTAACACTCACACCAGAACTAAGACCATGTGCCTTTTCCCTCAAATACTGAGCCCATTATACAGTGAGCTGGTACGTCCAGAAAACCACTGATTTGTTCGACAGGTATTGATATGTGTATTCATAAATGGATTTGATCAAGCTGCTGCTTCATCCTTCTTATTTAAACGGAAGATTATATCTCTGTGCTGATGTGGTATGGCAACATGAACTGATGTACTTACGTACGAACTTCTACATTGCATCTGACTGACTGACTAAAACGAAAGATGAACGGAAACAGAACTCATTATAACCTACTTTTTCTATTTTCAACAGCCAAAAGGATGGTAAAAAAAACGCCTGAATTAATACGAAAAACAGGATGTAGTACATTATTTTATTCCTCCTTCTACGACGATATTCTAAATGTCTAATCTTTATTATTATCATTGTTACTGAATTATTTAAACTATTCCAATTGATCGTCTCAATTTTATTTCATCGTGATAATGTAGTTGTGGTTTTGACACCTGGACTAGTTCACATTTGGTTATGACTAAATGAGCATGTGGTATAATGTACAATTCATCAGGCTCAGTTACGACATGAATCCATTGTAAACAACTTACAAACTATTGATGTTAATTCTGTTATCGATTAACGTTATGATTTATTTTCTTGTATAAAATAAATGTATGCCACAACTGAGATATCTCAGTATAGGATTATTATTTACCAAAAATGTCTAACTCTCGATAATCAAAATGAAAGACGGACAATTTTTAAGTGTAAATATGCTTTCCACTCAAAAAACGAGCAATATGAAAGAAGAGCTTTCTATAATGTTTTAGTTAGAGTCGGAATTGGAACTAGATCCTATCAAATAAACTGAACAGTTTTCAGGAGCATCTGCAGTGTGAGACACAGAAAGGCTACCAAGGAATGTAAGAAGTTGTGATTCAGGGTACTAATCGACAAGAGTAGTAAAATTTCTTCTTTACAATCAACACAACTCAGGAAAAGTAAATAAAATGTATATCGGATCCAAGTAATCTCAGATTTTATTCAGAATATATAGTTTAGTCAATTGAATATTTCACATAAGACACTGTACCTACAAAATATATAAAATAGTGTGATCAATTCATCAATGACTAGAATGATGGTACGGTTACGAATAAAAATACTATTGCACATTTTTTATTTTTCAACACAAAAAGGATCTGAATTCATCTAAACATTTTTTGTAACTAACCTCTCGTAAGTATGTGACACCCACCCCAGTTCCTACATGGTAACCGGGTGATAACAGAAAAGGTAGTAAATAAAATATAATTATGCTGATCATGGCAATTACGGCATTGTGCCAGACGCCAGCGCAGTATACGCGGAGCTGACAAAACGGTGAAAGACTTTGAAGATCTGAAGTGTTGAGGTCAACGAATGCACCTGGATAAAACCCAAACACAAAGATTCCGAATCCATGAAGGCGAACGCGTTCACGCACAGCTGCTAGAGCATGCCCTGCTTCATGTATGAATGCGCATATAAGCAGTGTGAGAATATAAAATCCTAGATGACCGGTTGGTAAATTTATTCCCGGCATCTATTGTAAAAAGAATACTTTGAACAGTAAATAACTGAAATAACAAACACAGGTATAGATAACTCAGTTATAATTTATAAAAATCAGATTTCAGACGACTGTTATACTAAGAACCTCAGAATGTAGGGCGAAAAATAGTACATGAGCTTGGTTAGTCATTACGTGCTACAGTAGCGGGAATCCTATCGATAATTTTTAAGAGTTGATTCAACTCAAATATCTGATGGGAAGTTCCTTCAGACAGTTTAGTAATCCGGGCACTATCAAAGAAAACGCAACAAGAAATGTGGGAATTAACATAGTGGTCAGTTTATGACAAGACTAGATGGGGGTAACATTAATTTGATTAAGATAATCCGGTGTATTCTTACAACAGACATAGAAAGTCCTAGAGTTCACGAGTTTGGATAGCTTGGGATGTTGAATGCAGGTGACAATAATACTACTGTTTTATTTTGTCTTCTACTTTGCCAATTATACAGATAGACATTCAAAGAAAGTTTCAGATTCCTGTCAATTCTTCGTCCTAATCTTACTTTTTAAAATGATCTACTAAGTTTAGATCTAAAGTATAGTGCCAATAATGATACGTCAATCCAAATGTGCTATATGGTAGAATTCGTTGATCTGTAATGAAGGACGTTCGTCGATTGTTAAAATAAATGTAATGATATGATGTAGCTGAGTGACCGTGGCTCAAAAAACTGGGGTAAGAAATTAAACTGTAGAATCAGTCAGTCAGTCAGATGCAACGTAGAACTTCGTACGTAAGTACATCAGTTCATGTTGCCATACCACATCAGCACAGAGATGTAATTGTCGATTCAAATCCAATAGTAGAGGAGGTAGTAAAGGTATTAGAAAAAATCGCGGAGGTTAGGATTAGAAGATATTACTCAAGAAGTATGATTCAGTGAAAAAAGTTTAGAAAGTCGAAACTAAAGGTGTTGAAAAATCCAGAAGATTAGGATTTGAGAGAACACAAAGAATAAATGCACCGGCGCCATTGCGAACGACTGTGAGCCATGTCATTCAGGGTCTCTAACCATCGATTATTATCACCTCGCGGACCCCAACCAGGTAGTCGACAATTACCGACATGGCTAAGTCCACTCGTCAATGACTTCATGGATTTCTGCAATGTTTTGGTTTGGCCGCCCCTAACTTTCTTCCAACCTATTCCTACACTACAAAACAAAGCTCGTCGAGGCAGTCGGTGGTTAGGCATACGCAACACATGTCCCAACCACCTCAACTGATGAAGGTTCATTACTTCATCTAGTGATCTGCCATTCTTACCTAGAACCCGTTTCCTAACGATAGAATTGCTTACTCGGTCGTCCCAGGATACACGAGCAATGCTTCGAAGACACCTATGATCGAAAACCAATAACCGACGAATATCTTCTACTATGACTGGCCATGTTTCTCAGCCATAAAGTAAGACGGAGCGAACCACTGCACAGTACACTCGTCCTTTAGTCAGCAAACGGATGTCTCGCCTGCGCCATAAGTGACGCAGGTTGGCAAAAGCCAATCGAGCCTTCTGTATCCGAGCTGAGATTTCGTCAGTCACCAGGCCATCAGCACTGATCAGACACCCCAGATAAGTGAAGCGGTCTACATGTTTGACTACTGAGTTCTTGGCTAGTTCATTCCCTATCACTAGTTCAGGTACCGATGAAACCCAATCTTGAATCAACATTTTGCATTTCGAGGGTGAGAACCGCATCCCGAACATGCTTGCATTGTTGCTTAGGGTGGTCAGAAGACACTGCACTTTGTCAGCGTCTTCACCAAGTAGGACTATGTCATCGGCATATTCTAATTCGATAAGCGAGCCTCCTGGTAAAAGATCTACTCCTGAAAATTCAGACGAGGATAAGGTTATATCTAGCAGGATGTGTATGATAAAATTAAACAAGAATGGGGAGAGTGGACAGCCCTGACGGATACCACTTGAAGTAAAGAATTCTGTTGACAGTTCGCCATAAGCTCTCACGCGACCAGTGGTGTTCGAGTAGAGAGCTTGTATAAGGTTAATGTACTTATTTGGTACACCTTTCAATGACAGACACTGCCACAAAACCTTACGATCTACAGAGTCAAATGCCACTTTTAGGTCCAGGAAAACAACTATTGTAGGATGCCTAAATGTGTGTCTGTGTTCCAGGACCTGTCGTAGTGTGAAGATGTAGTCTATACAGCCAAATCCTTGTCTGTAACCAGCCTGCTTTTCTAGAATTGCTCTTCACGAGCTTTCGTAAAGCGTCGAAGTATTATTGAGGCCAATATTTTAGATGCTATATTAGTTAGACTGATTCCCCTGTGATTGTCACAAGAAGACTTTTGTCCTTTCTTATAGATTGGGACAATCAGTGATTGAGACCAGTCGGATGGGATTACGTCCAGTTCCCAGATTCTACCTAAGATCTCAGTCAACCTAGATGCTAAAACTGGACCACCATTCTTAAATATCTCACGGGTCACTCTATCAGGACCTGCAGCTCGTCCTCGTTTCAGACTTCCTAACGCTTTCTCAATTTCGTACAGCCTGGGGGGACTTACGTCGATTTGCCATTCAGGATGACTGGAGATCGTGGGTAACAGCAGAGTGGCTCGAGGCCAGTTGAACTGATCCCTAAAGTGTTCTGCCCATCGATCCAGTCTCCTGGATTGAGAATAAATAATAGTCCCATCAGTTTCTGAGATAGTCTCACTTACACTAGGATTCCTAATACCAGTTTCCTTGATAAGTCGGAAAAGTTGTCTAGTGTTGCCAATCGCCACTGCCTTTTTCATCGCCTTTGCTTTCGCCACCCACCACTGTTCACGGTCGTTGCGCAGGCTTTTTATCAGCCTGCGCTTAAGCTGACTTCGTTCCTCATCATGTTCAGAGTCAGGTGGGATGAGTTTTCAGGCATCCATCAGATCGGTGGATGCTACTGAGATCCACGGCTTCATTCTAGCTTTATGGTCAACCTTACTAGCAGATATCACTGCTGTTTCCACAGCCTTTTCGATATCACTCCAACCTGACACCGTATGGGAATCGCTCAAATGGCAGCCTAACTGTCTTTCTAGTTGTTCCTGAAATATATTCTTCGCCTTATTATCTTAAAGTAAAACCCTAAGAGGCTTCCTCACGGTGTCTTTCCTACGTCCAGTAAGCCTCAAACAAATACGAGCTCGCAATAGAGCATGATCTTAATCTAAACATGTGCATCACAACGAGCGACAGTCCTCTATCGAACCCCTCCACCGGTGGCTGATGGCAATGTGATCTGGTTGGGTCCAACGTTGAGGCGACTTTGGGGGTCGCCAGGTCAATAGATGCTTTTCCTTATGCCTAAATTTAGTGTTTGCTAAGAATAGGCGTTTATCTGAGCATAGTTGCAACAGACGGTCGCCATTGTCTGTTCTCGGAGCCGCGACACCATAACATCCACCTAGGTGTCTCTCCTGCTCACTTAGTCTACCTACTTGAGCATTGAAGTCACCAGCCATTAATACTACATCAGAGCACCTAGCTTTTTGGAGGAAGTCCGAAAGCTTTCTGTAAAACTCATCTTTAACCTTGTCTGAACTGCAGTCAGTGGGGGCGTACGCTGATATGACGAAGAGGCAACGACGAGTGTCCCTATCCTTCCGAATCCTCATTGTCCCGTTTAGTCGGACCGCGCACAAGCGACTATCTACTGGGATCCAGTCATGGAGAGATTGTTCAGCTCTACGACTCAATGCTATACCTACACCAGCAAAACCCCTGGAAGCAGCCTTAAAGCTACCGGATACACGAAGGGCAAGTCGAGTTGCTTCTTTATCTTGACATGGTGAGGTCAAGTGAATGATGCTACTTGGATCCTGTATGCGTGTTTCCGAGACGCAGCACACATCGATTGAGCGAGATTCTAAAGTCCTAGCTGATGATGCCTGTTTCCCTATTTGACACAATGTGCGTACATTGAATGCTCCAACATGTAGTCTAGTACGAGGTTTCAAAAGACCAGGAATGACGTTTCGTGAACTCGCATCGTTTGCATTAGCGGTGCAGTCAGATAAGGAAATATGAGTAGAGAGACGAGAGGTACTAGGGGGTGTAGGAAGGACTTGATTTCGACCAATTTGGTCTCTCGTGCTGTTACGGGTATGAGGGCGGTTGTCACTTCCCGCCTGCCCACACCGCGGAAGGTTGTTACTTGAGGGGCCTGAAAAGGAAGATAGATTATTGTTGGTCTTGGAGACCTGGGAGCGTGACCGCAGAGTCCAGGGGACAACTGCTTGAGGCCGGTCACGCACGGCCTTTTTATGAAAGGTTTTTTGAGGATTAGCTTCGGTCTTAAAGGCCCTTAGTGGGCACCCTTAACGCCGGAGACGGAAATCCGTGAGGTAGGGTCAGGTGTGACACTTTTAGGGTCCACCTTTTCTAACCCTTCCTTCCTTGTGAGAAGGCAACATCACTGCAGATGCTGGTTGTCCGAGGGAAACACTTTACTGCTGTCAAACCCCTCTGCAGTCAGCAGTTCGACTTCACCCTCAGACCTTGGGTAGCTGCTTTCAATCTCATCGTTCTCCAATCGACCTGCCTGGCATGGTAGGTCCTGCAGGAACATATGTTCCAGAAAATCTAGCTCGGTTGGGTCACCACGATAGGCAAGCCCGACCACCAGGTCAAGGTAGCAGCTACGGTCGGGTGGTTGGAGAACACTGGTTGGCGACCTATGCTACATTGGAGTTGACAGGTGTAACGAAGTACTAACCACATAGGTGCTGCTAACTAAGATAATAACGTGCTTAAGTAAAAGTTATTAACACAAATGTATGGCTAGAGTTCATAATCGATGAAAGGAAATCAGTTTTCTATGTCGCCTGTTACCCAGTGAATAATAACCTAACTTTTACTCAATATATTCGGATAATATGTGACATATTAGTTAAAATTATTTAATTTCACTCCGTTTCGCATAAATATCAGTCATATACAATAAAAAACTTGGCATACATATGAGTCAGTCTAAGTCGATTCATTTTTATCAAAAGCAGTGAGAAATTAGCAAGAAAAAATAGAAAAATATTAATTGCAGTGGAAAACTGAATATGAAAAATGAACTTTTAGAGGAATGGGTGAAAAAAAGCACCAAAGTATGAAATGATGACTCAAGATTTCAAGGGAAAAAATTAACTTAACGGTAATACTGAGATTTATACAGAGATACCTTAATCAGATTACATGATTACAGATTAGAATAACCGAGAGAGATAGGAGTACAAGGAATCACATTTACATAGTGTAAGGTACAAAATTGCTGGTCGGAAGAGTTAGAAGCTGAATTCCTTACCGTTTATTCAACTAAACTTTTTATCAACTCCACTATTTTACCAAGTGGGAACCTAATGTTATGACTGGATTGAGTGCAGATAAGGGGTGCATTTTCTCATCTCCGTCGTAGCAGCTTGCTGCTCATATGTCGCAGCGATACTAATAATGTGTTTCTTTGTTGGTTAGGCTACCACCTACTTTGAGTGACAAAGTGTGGACAGGAAGTGTAAATTACTACAAAACAGTAATAACCCTAGAATTAACAGAATAAATTAAATACCAACTCATAATGAACGAATAATAATTAAATATTATTCACTTCATCACAAATATTGTCTGAACATAAAGAAATGTGAAATTTACATTTTATCAATGCTTACCACGGGAATTAGGACCTGGGTTTCAATAGGTTTGTGCATCAACGTATTGTAAGCTAATAGGGTAAGTAGACACACACTTACTACCATTGATATGGCAGCAAATATCACACCACAAGAAAACCAGAGATTCCAAGGCACACAATTGAAGCGGCATATATAGTGGAAACAGTTGTTCAACCGTTGTGTAAATAAACGTGCTTGTAGAAGGTTAAACGAGATCCCTAGCTGGGAAAGAAACTCAGTGTATCGATTTCTTGTGTATGGATGGGTGCGCAGAGCTATATCAATCAGATAAACAGAAGCCCATACTCCCACAAAGTATGATACAAAACTGACAATCGTCATTGATGAAATTAGTGGGAAGAATTGTAAGTACAAATCGCCAAAATGGGTTATCAATAAAATGAAATAGTTTTGGTACGACCCACGAACCTAAGCAGTAGCACGAATAAAAACAGTTATATGGTTATTGAAGTCCAGAAAATGTAATCCTACAAAAACAGAAAATTAATAATTTCTAAAACGAATATTAAGACTAGGCAGAAAAGTAGCTACAAATTAGGAGTGGTTCGTGTAATGCACTTTGATCTGTTTAATCCCAGATTTAAGCATAACTGTATCTCCTCTTGTTTCTGTGATCACGCAGACGCTATCACAAGGAAAGAACTAAAACCGCAACTTTACTGAACTATTCTGTCGTACTATTATCCTTAACACTGCTAACCTACTCCGACGCCAGACAACACATGGACACGTAACAAATTCCAATCACTTCAGTCGAAGATTTACTACTTCATCAATTGATTTGCCAACCTTGCCTAGGACACTTTTCTTAACACCAACAGTGTTAAACGATTGTTCCAGGATATACCGGCAAAGCTTTGAACACGAGGATGGTCGAATATTAGTAACCTACGAATACGCTCCATTCTTAATGATCATGTTTAACACCCATAAAAACTGTTGCGCAGTAGACTCGTCCTTCGGTTAGCGAACGGATGGCTTCTGTATTCCTGTCGAGATTTCATCACACATCAGGTCGTCAGGACTGATGAGACTCTCGCGATAAGTGAAGTGGTCAACACGCTAAACTACTTCTCAGCTTATTACGAAGTCAGACACCGACATAAGCCAATCCTGAAGCAAGGCTTTTCATTCGAAGTGAGAGAATCGCATTTCAAACATGCTAGCATTATTGCTTAAGGGGGTCAGAAGAGTGCATTTTTTCAACGTCTTTACTAAACAGAACCGTATCATTTGCATTGTCTAAGTCGCCAAGTGGAACTCATGGTAGAGTCAATTACTGAAAAGTCAGATGATGAAAATGTCGTCTTGTGAATGACAAAGTGAGATAAGAATGGAAAAAGTGGACAACTCTGAAGAACTACACTTGAAGCAAATAATTCCGATGACTGTTCGCCATAAGTTCTCACTCGATCATTAGTGTTACAGTAGAAAGCCTGTGTAAGGTTAACGTACTTCTCTAGTACACTGCCATAGAACATGACGAACGACAGTTAAATGCTGTTTTAATATTCAGGAAGACAACTATTGTCGGGCGACTAAATGTGTGTTCGAAGACCTGTCATAGTGTGAATATGTGGTCTATACAGCCACTTCCAGGTCTGAAACTAGCCTGGTTTTCTCGAGTCTGCTCTTCATGAACTCTAGGTAGGCGTCTAAGAATTATCGAGGCTAACAATTTAGACACCATATTAGCTAAACTGATTCTTCTGTGATAGTTACGAGAGTACTTTTGGCCTTTCCGAATATATGGGAACCAGCGATTGAGACCATTTGGATGGGATTACGTCCAGATTCTGGATTCAAGCTAAGATCCCACTCAATTCAAGTGCTAAAACTGGACCATCGCACTTGAAAATTTCAGGAGTATATCTATTATGACCTGCTGCTCTTTCCTGCTGGAGACTGTCCAAAACATTCTCAACCTCATTAAGAGTAAGAGGAGATCGTGGGTAAGTGAAATGTGGCTGAAGGCTAGTTAAATTGCACCTTATAGTGCTCGGCCTATCGATACAATATCTTGAGATGAAAATAATAGTTCCATCTCTTTCCGAGATTGTCATACTAACAGTCGGATTTATAATTCTGGTTTCCTTGATAATTCTGAATAGTAGTCTACTGTTACCAATCGCGGTTGTCTTTTCCATCTCTGCTTTCGCTACTCACAACTGCTCATGACCACGGCGTTAGCTATTTACCAATCAGTATTTAAGCTGCCTTTATCCTTGATTGTGCTTAGAGCCAAACGAAACGAGTTTCCGAGCATTTAATAATCCAGTCAATGCTACTGAAATCCAATGGTTTTTCTGACACTTGGTTTAAGTTATTGGTATATGTATCACAGGTTTCCAAAGTTTTTGGACACCATTTGAAGTTGCCATGAAGTGAACGTTACCTACACGGTTGACTCACTGGTTTTTAGTTATTCTGAAATGTATTCTTGCCTCATTTATCAATAAGTTGAACTCTGATGGATTTCCTAGATGCGCATAGTAAACTTCTGTAATTTCAGAAAAGGCTTTGAACTTCGATGCATGGGGAAAGCCAGATACAGGCATAGACGCGTTAATAGCTTTTGTTGTAAGTGGGCGACAAAGACTGAATGGTCGAAATTTCTTCTTTAAACGTCAGTCATTCAGTTACAACGCATAACGCCTTTGAAAACCAGTACTTATAAGCACCCTACTGTAATAAAGCGTCTCACAGACCATAGAATTACAATTAGTTACCCATCATGTCAGTGAATATATAATTACTGTCAAATTTTTACCGCAACGTCATGAACGGGGGGGGGGGTCTAGAATCTAGGAATAACTTGTATTGAATAGCATCCCTAAGATTTATTTTTGGTTTTTTTTTCTGCACTTCAATCTACTGCAAGGTACTACCAAACGAATGATTTCTTGGATGACTTGCCAAAAAGAGAAGATAATACAATTGGAAACACGCTAAGAAGTATTAGAACAGGCCTATTACTGATTGAATTAAGTTACCGACCTGTATGTTGAAAAAATACAATCGACGACAAATACAAATTCCATAACTATCAGGCCCAGATAGTACTACCTCCGATAGTTATTCTTACAACCACGTGCAACGACTTACTCCTATAGATTAATGGTTAACAATCCACATGTAACGCTAAAGTTGAACGACTTCCAATATCCAATACCAAATATCCTCTTCAAAGAGAAGTATAAACCATTTGGTTTCTTTGTGCTCGATTCTTGTTCTTACCATCCAATATCCATTATGTTTTGAATGAGCTAGCTTCAACCAACTGAATTCTTTGCCCTCGATTCCAGTTGTTTTTCTATAGCTTCGAAAAAGCAGTCGGTAGTTGAGTATACGTAATACATTTCCAAACCACCTCAACTGATGCAGTTTCAATACTTCATCTTTTTACTTGCCACCCCTACATGGTACTCGTATCCTAACAACAGCCCTGCTTACTCAGTTGTCCCACAATGCTTCAAAGACATCCATAATCGGATACTAATGACCTGTGAATATTCTCAACTCTTACCGGTCATGTTTCACATCCATATACTAGAAAAGAGCGGACGGCTGCACAGTAGAATCGTCCTTTGGTTAGCAGACGTATATCTCGCCTACGCAATAAGTGGAGCAGGTTGACAAAATCCGATTGGCCTTCTGTATCCGTCCTCACACACCAGCCCATCAGCACTGAGGAGGCTCCCCAGATAAGTGAAACGGTCAACACGCTCAACTTCTTCCTTCCCTATCACTAGTTCAGGTGCCGACGCAACCCAATCTTGAAGCAACATTCTGCATTTCGAGGTGCACAGTCGCATCCGGAACATGCTTGCATTTTTGCTTAGGGTAGTCAAGAGACGCCGCATTTTGTCAGCGTCTTCACCAAGTAGGACTATGGAGAATGATAAGGAAAAATTCTGATGTTAATGAGAGTTCAGAATTAAATAAGTTGGTAGTCGATGTTGTGTGCGAGGATGGAATAAGTTAGTGATTTAAGGAGATTACAATGATAATGACTAGTAAGCTTGAAGATATACATCAGGCAAAGCTGTTATAAGCAGGGAAGGATAGTTTGTCAAGTCCATGTATATTCATGTATATCCATGTATAGTCAATGTTTGCAGCTAGGAACGTAGGTATATTAGACAAGCAAGAGAGTGACATTAATAAACGAATATGAAAAGCTTTCTGGTGTCCTTAAAAATGTGACAAGTTTACTCCTAAAGGACTCCTGGGAAGTCGCTCGGACTTACTTACTTACTTTCGCCTGTTACCCCAAATGGAGCATAGGCCGCCCACCAGTTTTCTCCAACCAACTCTGTCCTGGGCTTCCCTCTCCAGTTCTGTCCAATGTTTGTTCATTCCTCTCATATCTTTCTCTATTTCTCGGCGTAGTGTGTTCCTTGGCCTTCCTCTTTTCCTTTTGCCTTGAGGGTTCCATGTGAGGGCTTGTCTAGTGACGCAGTTGGGTGCTTTTCGTAGTGTATGTCCTATCCATTTCCACCGCTTCTTCCTGATTTCCTCCTCCATTGGAATCTGACTTGTTCTCTCCCACAGTTCGTTGTTGCTGATGGTGTCTGGCCAACGAATACGAAGTATTTTGCGTAGACAACTGTTAATAAACACTTGTATCTTCTGGATGATGGCTTTCGTAGTTCTCCATGTTTCCGCTCCATACAGTAGGACTGTCTTGACATTTGTATTGAAGATCCTGATTTTGGTTTTGTTTGAAAGTTGTTTGGAGTTCCAGATATTTTTCAACTGTAGAAATGCAGCCCTCGCTTTGCCAATCTGCGCCCTCACATCTGCGTCCGATCCACCTTTCTCGTCGATGATACTGCCAAGATATGTGAAGGTGTTAACGTCCTCCAAGGTATCTCCATCAAGCGTGATTCGGTTGGTGCATGTTGTGTTGCATCGGAGAATTTTGCTTTTTCCTTTATGTATGTTGAGACCTACTGCTGCAGAGGCTGCTGCTACACTGGTCGTCTTCTCTTGCATTTGTTGTTGAGTGTGCGATAGAAGAGCCAGGTCATCTGCGAAGTCCAGATCGTCCAGCTGCGTCCTAACTGTCCAGTTGATACCGTGCTTCCCTCCAGATGTTGACGTCTTCATAATCCAGTCGATGACCAGGAGAAAGAGAAAGGGTGAGAGTAGGCCACCTTGCCTGACACCGGTCTTCACCTCAAAAGAGTCTGTCAACTGACCTCCGTGTACGATTTTGCAGTTGAATCCATCATAAGAATTCCGTATGATGTTGACTATTTTCTCAGGCACACCGTAGTGTCGAAGAAGCCTCCACAGTGCTTTCCTATCCACGCTATCGAAGGCTTTCTCGTAGTCGATGAAGTTGATGTAGAGTGGTGAGTTCCATTCAATTAATTGTTCCATAATGATCCGTAATGTAGCAATTTGGTCAGTACACGATCGATCCTTACGAAATCCAGCCTGTTGATCTCGACGTTGGGCGTCTACGAAGTCCTTCATTCTGTTTAACAATATCCTGTTGAAGACTTTGCCTGGTATTGAAAGAAGAGTGATGCCTCTGTAGTTTTCACACTTGCTGAGATCGCCTTTCTTTGGTATTTTGATGAGGTATCCTTCTTTCCAATCTGATGGTACTTGTTCCTCGTCCCAAATCTTCTTGAAGAGAATGTGAAATATTTTCGCAGTTGATTCTACATCTGATCTCATTGCCTCTGCTGGAATGTTGTCTGGTCCTGCTGCTTTGCCGCTCTTCATTTGTCTGATGGCTATACTGATCTCCTCAATCGTAGGTGCGCCAATATTAATTGGGAGGTCCTTGGATGCTGCTTCGATGTACTTATGTACTCATGTACGAAGTTTTACGTTGTAACTGACTGACTGATGTAGAACTTAGCATAAATGTTTTATATCAATCCACATAACTACACATCACACTGATACAATGAAAAGGAAAAATTAACAAGGTGAAAAGCAAAAACGTTGCAATATTAGAATTGATTTTAGGAGGCAGTTAAACATAAGCTGTTTCAAACGAAAGTGTCTCCTGGAGGTAAGATACATAGGATTATTTCAAGCTTACGATTTAAAAGTGGATAAACTACCTATGCAATTACATCAAAAAACTGATAATTCACTGTCATTAGGTTAAATGCTTGAATTCATCGTATCTATCTTAGCTTTTGAAAAAAATATTGGATGGTCGCCTGCTTCTCACTGGTGGCTGAAACAGATAGAATGAGTACCGAGATTTTTAGGGATGGTGGTCCAGTTTTAGCAGCTAGATTGACTGAGATCTTGGTTAGAATCTGGGAACTGGACACAATCCCATCCAACTGGTCTCAATCCTTGATTGTCCCAACCTACAAGATAGGACAAAAGTCTTCTTGTGACAATCACAGGGGAATAAGTCTAACTAATATGGTTTCTGAATTGTTTGTCTCAGTTATACTTAGACGCCTTACTAGAGCTCGTCAAGAGCAGACTAGAGAAAACCAAGCTGGTTTTCGACCTAGACGTGGCTGTATAGACCACATTTTCACACTACGACAGGTCCTGGAAGACAGACACATTTATAAGTCCTACAATAGTTGTTTTCCTGGACCCAAAAGCGGCATTTGACTCAGTGGACCATGAGGTTCTATGGCAGTGTCTGTCACTGAAAGGTGTACCAAACAAGTACATTAACCCTATACAAGCTCTCTACTCGAACACCACTGGTCGAGTGAGAGCTTATGGCGAACTGTCACCGGAATTCTTCACTTAAGTGGTGTCCGTCAGGGCTGTCCACTCTCTCCATTCTTGTTCAGTTTTGTCATGGATATGTTGTCAGATATAGCATTATCGTCGCTAGAATTGGTAAAATCGCCAAATCTATACCTCAAGGTATGTGACTAACGGAAATAACATATCTGTCCAGCTACAGATTTATGTCTCGAAAATCAATAAACGAAAGCATCTATTAGTTTATCCCCAGTAATTTTCCCCACATATGCATAGTTTTTACACACCAGTCAACCGGAGAACCTACCCTCCCCTTTGTTTGGGACTTGTTCAAGCAGTTTTAAATGTTGTTGACGGAATAGAAGCTTTCACTTAACGAATTTCCTTATCTAGTAGAGGCTTCGTATGGAGGGGGAGCTGGTATGACAACGTGCGATTGTAGTGAGGAAGGGTTGACGAACAGGAAGCGATCATTGAAGCTCGAGTTAATAATAATAATTTATTTTCAAATAACAATGTGTTACAAAAGGCATGCCAATTTACAGGCAAGATCAAAATGTTAAGATTGCTAACATATTCTTTGTAAAACGTTGTTCAGTTGATGAAAAATTTTGTCAAGATACATTGGCTTCATATAGATGGCTAAAATGTTTCACATAAAATTATAGATAATTTTCCTGACTCCGCAATCTACAATGAGAATAATTGCGTTACGATGAACTGCTAATAACTGCGAAACAATTCAAGATAGAGCCAGATCGGCATATAATTAGAATTGAGAAGGGAAGTGTGCTAAGATCTGCTTGATATTCTTTGAATAATAAATTTACATTAGTCACTGAAAGTCCTCTACGTTGAACTGTACCAGTAGTAACGTGTCAGGTTTAGTGCTCAAGTTGGCATGCCACATCAGCGTGGCCCCTATCCAGTGTCTGAAGATTGCGTTCGTAGCGGTTCGGACTAGAAAACGCTGCAGACGTAGGACGGAACCAGATTGAGCGAGGGAACCAGAAAAGACCAGAACGACCATATATATATATATATATATATATATATATATATATATATATATATGCCAGAACATTCGAAACCAACACATCGACTAAGTGCATTGACAAGAGCGGGCGTGATCAGGTCAGCTTTCACCAAGGTTGACTGAAGTCGACGGTACCAACAGGGCAACGGTCGGAGGCCTGGGTTCAGGATGCAAAATGAAAGAAAAAAAGGAATGAGGTGTAGCATGCGTGCAGTATGAGGATAATGTCTTATGCCGTATCCGCTGTTGATCGTGATATTAGTGCCAAAAGCGTACAGGTAGGAGTACGAGGCGACCGGAACGCGAAACGGCGGCCTCGTGCTTACCTCATGGGCCTGCAATCTCATCCGAAGTCAAGGGCGGTGTGGTCTGTTGATTCGGACGTGAGACCGGAGTCTCATCCGTGGATAGGGCAGATGACGCGTGCTGTTGACTTGGATGTGAGAATGAAGGCTCTGATGTATCTAGCGTGGGGTTG